CATACACACACACACACACACACACACACACACACACACACACACACACACACACACACACACACATATATACATGTATAGGTCTATTAGGATATAATTCATATTAAATATTCCTATTATACCCATTCTTTTAATATATTTAAGCTCTTGCCCCCATGTTTTAAAGCATCTTCAGTATTCAAATACGGATGTGATATAAGCTTTTTCTTAATAAGCCACGCATGAATAGTGTTACCCTCAATTATCGCCTCTGCCACAATAATATTTAATCTCAGGCAATTTTCTATATCATAAATCGATACATTTCCTCTTGAGATTCGTACAGCCACAAGTAAACATATAAGTGTACAGGCTTCACTTACTGAGGATTATTCAATACATAAAAAAAATGTTATTGATAGTGTAAGTATATACAGATACTCTCAATTTGATATCATATAAGAAACAAAGTAAGAAATAATTACGTTTTTGTCCTGGTGGATAACGGCTTTGTGTAAATTCAGGTTGATACCATAATATATCTACTTCGTTATTAAAACAGTTTTTCATATATGACGGAAAGTGACAGCTAAATAGTGGTGGTAAAGTCATAATTACAAAAATATCTTTTATTCCATATGTTTCTCATTACTTATTAATTTTGTTACCAAAAACATCTCTTTGTGATTCATATTTATGTTCTTTCCAAAAAAGTTTAATGTGTATATATAAGTCAAGACATTTTGGATGCGAAATTTTATACAATAATTGGATTATAATTGTATGAAAAATAGCTGCATTCATTAGATTGAATTAATCAATTTAAGTTATGTTCTGCTACTGGTACTGAAAATGTATAGTTCATGTATAATATTATAGATATTCAAATATTGCTAATGTATATGTATAAAAAAATTAATTTACTATGACCCGCCTTAATGAACCGGAAAATCATTTTGGAGAAGGAAAAACAAAGAAGACGAATAGAACTCGTAATGTATAACACGGCTTTTAAAAAGTATAATTATATTGTCCTTAAAATAATAGTTGACATTTAAAAACTTTTATAATGATTTTGTTGCCGAAATAATTGCACAATGAAAAAAGCAATACAGCTTTTTTAATATATTGTACTTTACAATCTATATTTCCAGAACATATTTCCATCTTACTTAATAAGAGAATGAATGAGAGCGAGAGAAAGTTATTATTTGATATTTATTATACTTCATAACAAAACACATTTTATTAATTGAATTTCTCTTTATAATGACATTCCTTGCAGTGACATATTGATTATTCCGATCGTTCAAAACATGATTTTTCTTTAAAGCGATATAAATTTCGTCATTTTATTCTTTTATAAAAAGCATATTGTTCCTATGAACAATTCTTTTAGCATTTATCATTTAAAAAGAATGTATGAAATTCAGTTTCAAATATATGCATATGCGAATGTATATTATCATTATATGATAATATATTTTTTATGAGATAAGATATAAAAGCGTCTGTGCTACACGTGTAAATAATATGACTTTACAATTATGAAACTAATAATCTATTCAAGATTAGTTAATGTGTTATATATGTCCAAGATAACACAAAAGTGGAAGTATATTCCATGAATATAAAAACAAAAGACATATTTATATATTTACATATAGGTTACGTTCTGTTATTATGAGTAGTGAAAAATCTATAGTATACGTAATAATAGATTTCCAGTATTCGTAATAAATAACGTAGCCATAATTTACTGTAAAAATAGAAATACGATAAAAATCAAATGAGGTACATTGCATTATAATAGAAACTGATACACGATGTTAGCTAAAAATTTAAATTTCTAAATTGATATTGTAAAATGCAATATTAAAAATATATTTCAAATTAAGTACTCATTCAATTAAAGCCTTCTCATCAATTTTTCTTTTATAATATTAATAGCATATTAATTTTTGTGAATAAAATATTTTATCATTCTTATATTTACTTTTTATAAAATTTTCATCAAATTTGTTTTTTATTTTCAATAAAAATTTGTCAGTTTTTTAAGCAAATCATATGTGTGCTATGAATATGATTTATTTTAACTCAGTTCAGCACTGCAATTAGTCTTCTAAATCGTTAGTTTATTATGAATAAATTTATATTTTTCTAAACATATATTACACCTGACTTCTGTTTCAAACAAACGTTTTGTCTTTTGTCACTGTTATTACAAAG